CCCTTTATGGTAACTGAGTTTAAGTTCGCTAAAGTTCCTCTATGGTGAAGCCCTTTATTTACTATATACATATATATATATATGTATGCCCTTTGTGGTAACTTAGCTTAAGTTCCCTAACAGCAACCCATGTTCGGGAGATGTTGGATTGCAGGGACCTGGGGGCCTGGTCTTGGTTGCAATGCATCCTTGTAGCTTCGGGTACCACAAACAGGGCAACAATAAATTGATACTGATACTTCTGCAGCATGCTGCAACACCCCAAACTCTAAGCCCTTAAACCCTTAACCTAAACCCTAAACCCCTCTTAACACTATTTGATTTCAAGTTTTCCAGTTGAGGTCGTCAACTCAAAACGATCATTATAGAATCCCAAGCAGTGTCGTCTTATAATTCCAAGTAATCTTTCATATCCATAGGGTCCCACATAGAAAAAGAATAGTGGTAACCTCCCCCCTCAAGAAACAGGATCGGGATCCTACTATAGATATCTGATAGCCATCGTAACTAGCTGCATCGACTTTAGAACCCGCAGACCTAAAACCCTAAAGCGTAACTCAGTCTCTGTTTCATGTTCCATTTGTTGTGAGCTTGATCCCCTAAAGGTCCAAGTAGCTAATCATCTACTTACCCAAAACCTTTACCAAAATCACTATTACCTAAATCCCAAGTACCTAATTATTAGGTACATGGACCCTGAGCCCTAAACCCTATGTCCCCCTATATATTCCTATGTGTCCCCTTTTTAAGGACCTAATTATTGGGTACATGGACCCTCTGATATCCTTCACTTTCTCATAGCGGCCTTGAACCTGCAAAGCCGCATACCCTAAAATCTGAACCGATTACAGGGTGTAGGGTTTAGGGTTCAGGGTAAAAGCCTTAACCTCAAACTCTAAAACCCCGCAAGCCCCCAAACCCTTCAACCCTGGAACCCTAGGGGCCTGAAACACCAAACGTGATCACTTACCAACCCTCATCGCCATGAGCCCCTATGCGATACCTAACTGTCTAGTCTAGTATCTTCTATATACAAAATTAAATTAGGTCTCCAATAAAATCGGTGGGGTATGGAGGTCTAGGTAGGGAGCCCCAACAGCAAAAACGACAGTGTAGGCTTTTGCGGCCATCCTGGGCAATGGGAGCATCGTCACCTGGGGCGACAAGGTGCTGGCGAACCAGTTTAGGGTTTCGGGTCGGGTAACAAGTGCCAAGAATGCCGGGATGCAATCCCTATATAGCTACAGTGTCAAGTACGCAAAGCCCGTGTTCCAACTACCCAGGCCCTGCATAACCCCAAACCCTAAACCCTATCTTACCGATCTCAGCCTGAACCCCTAAACCCTGAAAGCTTGGAATCTTTTCGATTGAGCTTCAGAGTGCTGCTCCCCATTAACGACCAACTTGATCCTGGGCAGTGACGTTTGGGGTTAGGGGTGTAGTGTTTAGGGTTAGAGGTTTAGGGTTAAGGTTTTAGGGTTAGGGTGAAGGGTTTAGGGAACCTCTGGAAGGTAGAGGTCGAAACGGCGAATTGTCAACAGCAGTTTGGTGTCTTGTACCAAAAGATCTTTGGTTTCAGAATCCCATAGAAGGATTTATACGAATCCTTCCCCTCTGATGTTAAACGACGTCCCTGCCCCTCCCCTCGCCCTCACCCTCGTATTTTCAAATAATCCGGGCCCGAAGAAGTATTCAACGTTACCTGGTAGTGGAGGGCGCTGATTAATAGGGCTGCAAAAAAAATCTTGAATTCCATGGTTTCTGATAGATTTACTCCATTGACTACTTACATACACTACTAATTGAATTTCAAACCAGTTGCGTTCATCTCCGTAATGAACCAGATGATAATGAACCTATAATTCCAGGATCCCCCTAATTCATTCTTAGGTGCCTCTTTTAAAGCGGTCCTGCCCTGGAAGAGCGTTTGGATCTTTAATTCAGGCCGCGGAATTATATTTTGATATAAGGGGGAAGGGGTTACAAGATCCACCCCAGACCCTAAACCCTAAAACTGAAGGTCTTTTGGGTCTAAGTCTTAGGTTGGGCCCATTGAGATTGTTGCACAACCCTACGGGTCCAAGTACCCAACAATCACATAGTTGCCCCAAACCCATACTAACATTGCTGTTACCCAAGTGCCAAGTATTTTGATTTGGGATACTTGGGCCCTTAGGGCACGATTCATTTATCCTTGCGGATTCCGCGACCCAAACCCTAAGCCCTGAAAACCCTAAACCCTGAAAACCTCAAATCCTAAACCCTGAAAACCCTAAATCCTCAACCCTAAACCCCAAACCCTAAATCCTCAACCCTAAGCCCTGGATCCTGAACAAGTGACAGCCACCCAAAGATTCTCAGCGTGACCCTGTCCAGAGAGCCCAATATCCAATCATTCGGGGTTTAGGATTAAGGGTTTAGGATTAAGGGTTTAGGGTTTAGGGTTTAGGGCTAGGGTTTAGGGTCTAGGCCCACTATCCCTTAGTTAGGGAATATGCCTTGAATCAATTTAAGGATCCTTTTGTATCATTTGGGGTAGATTCCCTAATTGAGGGATAGTGGGCTTTCTGGGTACTGTGGATGCAGTGAAGCTTGCACCACCCAATCTCTGGGCATTTGGGTTTAAGGACATAGCGCTTCGAGTACCCGGTGGAAGCTGGACATACTTGCCAAGATTGTCTACCTACAGCCCTTACATTTCTTTACATAACCTTAAACCCTACACTCTAAAATCTAAACCCTAAAGCCCCAAAGCCATTCAAAGTCAATTTGACCTCTGCTGCAGGCGTAGGGTTAGAATTCTTGACTTCACTTTTACGGTTCAGCGTCAACAGCGGAATTAGCCATGCAGCAATTTCACAACATCAAGTTTGTAGAGCCCTTCTAGGAGGGACTCTAACTACTATTCCGTTGCAAGCACTATTTATCCCTTATCCCCCCCACTTCTAACTCTACTCCCCCCTCCTCCCGCTCCTAGTCAAAACCTTCCCATACAGTGCCATGAAATATTCGGGAATTATGTATGCATGTGTATATGTATATATGCATATCCAGTATCATTAGGAGGGAGGAGGGTTCGTTCATTATTGGGAGAGGTGATTGGGGTCCCCTAGGATTAGGATGACCTATGTTGAAAACAGCCAAACCACACAGTTAACCACAAACTCTAAACTGGAAAGGTGAAATCAGCTGCACCCGACCGCACCCCGACTGGTGGTTTACATTAATAGTTGCACCCAAATGGACTTGCAACTACCCTCTGTTAGGAGTAAGTACCCACTAATTATTCAGGGCCCCATAACGCCCAATTGAGGGTACGAGGAGAGTCCGCACCATAACGTATTAGGATTGAGGGTTTCACCTTACCAGAAGCTCCCATGCTGTTCGGACCCTAAAGCCTAAACCCCTAAACCCTAAACCATTCAGGCCGCAGGCGGTGACAGCTCGGTGGTGCAGAGCCATTTGAAGGCCGGGGCCTGTTTATTCTACGTAGAGATTCCTCGAAACAGATGCGTGGAGTCCAGGGGTTTAGGTCATTCCTTAGACCAGTTTTTGTTTTTAGGTTGAGCGTGTAGAGTCTGAGGCATTGCAGGCATTGTGTCCGTCTTGAGTGGTTTTGACAGGCCCAGCTGTTTGATGATGGTTACACCCACGACAATGTGGCCGTGGAGAGCCTGTATGTGTCGAGACAATGGATCATCCAGGATTATGTGAAGGAGATGAAGAGGAAGCAGCTGGCATCCGGGGTGTTCGACATGGAACAGCGCTTGCCTTTTGGCATTAAGTTGGATCTGGAAGGGCACACCGGTGCGCGACTCAGGGAGCTCTGCCAGCAGAAAGGCATAGATCTTTTGCCTGCCCCTGCGGAACACCATGAGAGCATAGCGCAGGTTCAGCGGACCATTGGTCACCTTTGTCGGAAGACAGAAGCCTTTCTTCGTGGTTCACGTGAGCATCCTCGAAGAGCCGCGCACAACACCCTTCCCCGCGTTCATGGGTTCTCGCCTCTGCAGTGGGCTCTTGGACGAGACTGCATATTCTGAATTTCTTGAAGCAGTACAGTAAGTGTCTTTGTATTGGGCTTCCCTGGTATACTATGAGTCCTTACATGTGTTTCTTACATTTGGGACCACTAGCGCTGACGAGTTTGCCTATAGTACTTTTTAGCAGAAGGCGCACTTACAACATCTCAATGGTGCTTGGCAAGGCATGGGGAGTACTAACGAAACTACTTTGCTGTCCATTCCCTCATTCCCACTATTAGTTGCTCATCTCCTGTGACCTCAAGGGCCCCAACACTGAATCATAGACCTACCCCAATGCCTGCACTACAACTACAACGACCCTAAACCCTAAACCCTCTTTGGCAACTTCACTTCGTTGGGAAGGGACCCTAAGTCTGTTAACCCTAAAAAGGTTGAGGGTTTAGGGTCTAAGCCCCCAAACCTAAACTCCAAAGCCTAAGTGACCAACCCCGAACCCTAAATGAGCTATAGTCTAAGCTCCTTTGAGGAGGTCATATAGGGTTTTAGGATTTAGGGTTTAAGATTTAGGGTTGAGGTAAAAGGGGATTATATAGGAGACTACTATAGGGGTTGTTAAGGGGGATACTAGGAGTGTAGACTATAGCTCAAGCCCTAAAAGCAACCTAAACACTAAGGCTCTAAGGCCCTAAACCCTCAGCCCTTCGGCCATGAACCCTAAACCCTAAACCCTAAACAGTAATTTCTATTTTCTGTTCCACTATCCCGGTATAACCCCTATATACCCCTCATTTCGGCAAGGGCGTGGTGCGTCTCAGGGCTTCGGACGCCGCGTTCGCTGCTCTCCTCCACACCGGCCCCTGGCTTAGCCTTGGCGCTTCAGGGGAGGGTATAGGATTTAGGGTTTAGGGTTTGGGGTGAGTATAGGATTTGGGGAGTGTATAGGATTTTCTAAGGGTCCATGTACTCAATAATTGGGTACTTAGGGTTTTGGCAATAGTAAGCATAGTACAGATTTTGGGTAAGTATATGATTATTAGGTACTTGGACCCTTAGGGATTTTGGGTTTAGGGTATCCCCCAGGCCATATTCTATCTACTTAAGGGGGACTATAGGTATAGGGCTTCAGGCATGGAAGAGGTGTAGGGTTTGGGGTTTATGTCTTAAGGTTAAGGGCTAAGGGCTTAATCATATGGTCTAGGGTATACAATTTAGGCTCTATAGGGCTCAGGGCTAGATTCAAATGTATGCATGTTCCTAAATAGTATTCTCTAGGTAAGGACCCTCATCTACAAGAAGTGGCTGCTTGGGAAGAACTATTTGGTTCTGACTGTTTTCAGGTAGGGTTAGGGACTTAGTGTTTTGTGGCTTAGGGATGCAGTGCTCTATAGGTGTTGGGTCTAGAGGTTAGGGATTATAGAGTATAGGAATATGAGGTTTTTCCAGACATTGGGGGTTCACAGTAAGACTCTAAACCCTAAACCGTGTGTTCAAGAGGGTAAGGGGGGGGGTGTACAGTTCGAGGAATCAGGGATCCCGTTGTCGGTAAAGTCCCTAGACCCTAAACCCTCGAGGCTTCTGGCGTAGGCGGTTAGGGGATGTACCATATTAGCGGTTTACACATTAAGGTTCAGGGTTTAGAGGGCTCAAGATTTTGCTGTGTTGGGCTTAGAGATTTCTGCGCCCAGGCCAGGTGATTCAGGGCTTCTGGCTCAAGGTTTCGTATGTGGAAGCTTCCCAAAAATCGGGGTATGTTTTTGGGGGGTCCCTATAATAAGGATTATAGTATCTTAGCGCCTACATTGGGGTCTCCACATTTTGCGAAACTACCACTTGGATGATCGTTTGACTGCGTACATCTACCTACTATCCCGAGTAACTCCTATTGGCAGCCCTATAACCCAAGATACGAGTAGATTTACCAGAGGCCACGCTCTCACGGCTTCGCGGCCTGGGAAACCATTGGGTGTGCGGAGTTCCTGTTCATTCGCAGTCTAAAGGCGAACCCCAAATTAAACCCTACGCCCTAAGCTTTATCAGCACTGGGTGGTGCAAAGCAAGCACCAGCAATTTGGCTCTTCGCATGACCACAGGCAAAGCGCACCAGCAAGAAACGAAGCGCAGGTGTGGGGTTTAGGGTTCAGGGTTTTGTTTTTTAGGGTTTTCAGGGTTTTTAGGGTTTTC